CCCTCTCCCTTATTTCCTCCCCTCCCTCCCCTTTTGACGCATGTTACACAGGCTATTAAATCAGACATTGGGAAATTCTAGTGAGATTGTCTGAGGACTGACTATATTTCCAGATCTGCCATTTGGCCGGTGCTCTATTGCTGGTTTGCATGTGATGTCACGGTGGCCATGTTGGTTGTAAAGAACAAAAGCACTTCTCTCCTCTGAGAACGTAACCCTATTTTTCATGTAAATTCTTCGAGAAAAGTTGTATTGATCACCAACATGGTGGCCTTGTCACGTGGTTGAAAACCAAGAATTAACCATGTTTTTTCAACTATCAATCTTGAGCGATAACATAAACATGGGGAAAATATGAGACAGACTTCCATTCTCTGTATTTATGGGACGTTTGACTTGTTTATTTGGGGGATTGCAGGAAGGACCAGCTGATTTGTACCAATCGGTTTATCTTGTAGGAAAACCCTTCAGTAAGGAAATATGAAAAACTATTGCATTTGTTTCCTTATAATTTTTTTACAGTTTCTTTCAATGGAAAAAGTGTCTAACCCATTTCATTCTGTTTTATCTTTAACTATAGTATCCCTCATCAGAAATAAGGAACGCTCGCCTCCCCATTAAGGCCAGATTGTTTTGATTTTCTAAAATTGCGTGACCCAACCTTTCGACTTCAATCGCTGGTCACGGAAAGCTACGTCACAAGTGATGCAAGTGTCGTGAATGTTTGCAAATAAGAGAGCCTGCAGTACTGTAGTTCGGATGAACGATACAACGCCAGAGGAGGAGCGAATAGTATCCCATGATGCACCTTGTTTCATGTTATATTATCACTGCGTACGTGACATATCATGATCACTACTCTTCAGCACGCGCGCAATGAACATCGTAGTGCTCGATGTGTATGGTTTCCAAACATGTTTCGGTTCAGCAGCTTCTGCTTTTGAGAATATTGAGTTAGCAGATATTCATTGTGCTTTAAAGAAGAATTTCAACGTTACTTTGAAGGGTTACATGTGTTTCACTGGTCTGTCGAGAACTACTTGTGCGCTCGGTCGCAACTACAAACACAAAGTATGAGACTTGGCAACTGAAAGGTTCACCAGGAGAAACGAAACCATGACTGATCTAAAAAGTGGCTCCAACAAAACAGCCGCTACGCTGTGAAGGTAATTGCCAAAGGAGGATTTATTTCAGCATCGCGCTCAAAGGAGCTCAATTTACAACTGCAGTTACAAATAAAATTTAACCTATCGATGCGACAAACAATCCTCTGAATCTACCCGGTACTGACTCACGCAATCTTCAAGGAAATTTCCTGACCAGAATACTGATCTGTTCTTTTGAATAATTAAAGTTTCTGATATATATTTTTTTCAATTTCTGAGCAGGCTTGTTTAGCGTTGTACCTCGTTGTGCCGCTTGCATGCTGCGTGGCACCTTTGTCTGGGTTCCTATCACACTGAAACACACGGTAATATTTACCGCTCCTTGTTCTAATTAAAATAATTATAGTCAAATTCCTTTTAAAAATAACCACTATGAAAATACAAAGTGATTACTTCGGCATAAAGTGCTCTTGAAAGCGCCCAACAGATGTAGCCTTCAGCAGGCTTTACACATACAACACATATATTATCACACATGGCGTTGAAATGTGATAAAAGATACGAAATTTCCGCCATCTTTGCTCGATAAAAAAGTCTTCAAAATGTGGGTACTTCTGGGTACTTCTTAGCCTGTACAATATTCAGGACCTCAATTTGCCGGCGTGAGGACCACATTTGGAAGACTTCAACATATAATCAAAAAATCGTAAATATTCATGACCTTGTTGTGGGTCACTGAACACTTTGTGATAAGAAGACTAAGTGAAACAATGAAAATTAATGTTTCTATGTTGTAATTTCGCTCTTAAGCCATTGCAAATCGGAGAAGTCATGTCAAATAACAAAATAATGCAATTTTCTTACTTTTACTGGAACACAAATAAGAAAAAAGGCGACGAGAAAACGACCTTATTTCACGATGGAATCTGCCATGACTGCGATATTGCGTAATGTATCTGGAAAAATGCATCATGGGATACTATTCGCTCCTCCTCTGATACAACGCTTAAGGTTCGTGTCCTGGAAAGGAAGGTCATTTCCCATCGCTGGCTTTCAAATCTCTTCTAGATGTGTAAAAAGTGAAAAATGTTTTCTACGAAGTCTACAAGACTTGCATCCTCTCTGGTGGGAACGGTGCTCAGATCGTCAGGTTCTCGGTGCATCATCTTGCCGCGGTTTGGAATTCGAACTGAAAATGGCGGTCAACTGGTAGCAGCTCTTCGAAAATCCACAGTAAGCTTAGAGTTGTCGTCGTGCGCTAGGTTTTGAGTGTTGATAGTAAGCTGAGAATGCAATAGATTATTAGAAGTTACAGTAAAAATTAGTGTTCTATTATGCTTACGTAAGAGGATCATGCCGGGTTGTGGGGGAACCCAAGCTGAAGCATTGGAAAGTCAGTATGGTCAGTATGTCGTGTATTAGGTGCTTACTCCTCAAATAGGATTTACCACTTTTGTTATAAATATTTGATCCTTTGATACAGTTAAATTTTCTTAGATAAAACCGAGGATTTAATCCAAACATCTGAACTACTTGACAAGGTTTTGACAATGAAGAAAAAAAACACCTGTTCATAATGCATCTCAGTCAATTCCAGCTGCGGCCAGGCCCCCCCGGACTACTGCGGGGCATTTGCCAATTCTGCTCTGCCCGGGGGCCGGGCATTTGCCAACCCCGGGGCTATTCCCAAGCTTTTGATATGCACACAGTTTCCTATCAGAATATAACTACACTTAGGATTTTAATGGAAATATTTTAAACAAGCATGTTGGTGTAATTATCAAGGACAGGAAAAAATTGTAGAGGGTTGTAAAGACATGTTCTCAATTTTATGCATGCATTTTTTCATTGCGTATCAAGCCAGAATCACATGGCAAAATTGGGAGCTAACAGGACGTGAATCAAATTGAATCAAATTTCTGTTGATAGCCATTATATGGAAGGATGATCTTCAAATTTTGAAGATCATCCTTCCATATTTATAAAATTATTCGACATAACATATAACTTTATAGCACTCTGTTAATGTCGTCGTGGCGTGCAGTCTTAAGAATCCTAGCGCTATTACAAAGGAAGACGTTAATTGAAACAAAAAATCGCACATTAAAATGCTTAAATGGCACTATTCGACTGTGCAAGCTGACAGAGGACGGGGCATTTGCCCTCTTTTTCATCCCCAGCTCGGGGGATTTGACAGCTCAAGAGTCCCCACCCCCGGGAATTTGCCATCCAAGGCAAAACAAATGGTAATGCCCTGGGATCAGCCTGGGGGTGGGGGGGAGGGGGGCTGGGCACAGCTGGAATTGACTGATGCATAATCAGGAAGGGCTTGCATTTTTGAGCCTTTAAAAGGTATCATTGTATTACTTTCCTTCCCTTAAATAATTATTGTCAGGATTTAACAATCGTCATAGTTACCAACACATACACCTGCCCCATATTGAAAGGAGCTCTCCCAGGAAGGGGGGCGGGGGGGCTACTTCCTATAATGGCCTATATGGGAAGGCTCTGCCGCAAAGGAGGTACCTTTTTTAGGGTTCAGCCATATAAGAAGGGTACGGATTTCACTTGAAGTAAATGAAGGGGTAGGGAAATCTGTCTTTTCGGTCAGTAAAAGGACCCCTAAAGACTAACAGATGCATTTTATGCCTGTGAAAAAGTTGAGAAAACTTTCTGGTTTTGATTTATTCATATTTTGAACACAGTGCATTTACATTGTACATCAGTTGAAAGGGATGCAAAGTTCTAAACTAGGAATATGAAAGGTGTACCGTTGGCTAATAGAAGGTATGTGAAAGGGTTACCTTTTCTGTAGCCTGCGAAAACAGCCGTTTCTCCTCGCTCCTCGCCACTGGGATGTTTCACGAAAAGGAACATCAGAAATTCCATACTGACAACGTATATCAATGTTTACATAATAAATCCAGTAGTCATGGGGTTCCAAATGCAAATTTGTTCAATTTTATGTTTCTCCTGGTCGATTTTCATAAAGTGTTATGTTAACCTGTGAGTGAGCTCCAGCAAAACTCAAATGCTTCTTCTAGAGAAGAATATATTCCACAAATATTGACTGTTTCGTTATAGATTCATCGCATTTACATTTGACCTTTTTAGCTTTTTGTCTTTTGTCTGTCATTCATAAACAATAGCTAAAACAATGTAACTACTCTGTCGTACAATCAGCACTTATGATTGGATTCCAGACCGTTTTTACGTCATCAGTATGTAATTTCCTTAAAATCCAATTTTCCTTGAAAAGTCCTTAAATATCTGTGCAAGTCCTTGAAAAGTTCTTGAATTTTCTTCAACTTTGAATGTAGTAGCCTGAAGAGAGTTTTTTGATGCTTTTTGGTTGTCCAAAAAGCAGCAATGTTTTATGCAATCATTAAATATCAATTTAAGACAAGTGAACTGAAAAATTTAGAGAAGTTGGCAAAGCAAACAGTTCAAGCCATAAAGTCTTATTTAGAATGGACTGGGAATGTGCATTTTTCTGTGAAATTATAATCCTAGTAGGTGGTCCTTGAAAATCTGATGTGGTCCTTGAAATGTAATTGAAATGTCCTTAAAAAATTAATTGTTGCAATTTTTTGTGCGAACCCTGTATAAAGCCAGCTAGGTAAGGGGTTGGCCTTGGGGGCCAGAGCCTCCCCATATAAAACTACCCTGGGGGAGTTCCCCACCTGGCAGCAGGCTCTCTTGTGGGATACATAATTTCTGAATATCTGTGTTGACATAGTTGTATTTACCAGGTTTGTCTGTTGTCGACGAGTACCGTGCACACTGAGAAGCAGCTACCACATTTTAAAGAGAGGGAACAGATTAAAGAAGCTGAAGGAGATGATGATCGCACACTGGGTAATGAAGTGTACAGGATGCCTCATCCTATTTGGTAAGAAAAGAAAACAATGAGCGTTATAACTCATTATATACAGTGTAAATCTTTCTCTATCACTTCTTTTTTTGATTGGCTCTAATCTCACAAAAAATTATGAGATTTTGTGTTGACCCAGAGCACTTACAATTTGTGTGGAAAAGCTGGTCAATCCTTTTAGAATGCAAATGGATCAGTTTATTCTGGTGGAAATTTTATGGGAAAAAAGTAGTACTTTTCTTGCTTTTACCATAACATCCACGGAGGTACTCCATATAGTAAAAGGGACAGGGGGATGATCCAAGGATTTTTGGGGGGTTCGAAATTTTCAATTCGGGGATTTTTTGGGTAGAAAATTTACCAAATATTTTTTTTGGTGGCTTAATTTAAGTAAGGTTTTTTGGGGGTTAATTCAAAACAATTGGTGGGATTGCCCACGTATTGCACTTGCATAGTTCTGCGAATAAAGTACAACCAAACTTGTTAATACGGCTCAGAAATTCAGCATCGGATTTTTTGAGGGTTAAATTTTGGTTGACGGATTTCTTTTGGGTTTTCATTTTTGCCTTCATTGGATTATCCCCGTCACTTGAAATCCAGAGCACATCCCCTCCAAGGCCAAAATGACCAAAACTTTCTTACCATTTGCATGGATTACAAGCACCCAGCTTCCTTTAGTGAGAAAGAGAAAAGTATATCCGTATTTTGCAAATAGTACATGTACAACTCAATGCTACCACTGTTTTTGGTGTGAAAAATGAAGCCATTATGTACCATTTGTCAGCTAGTAATTTTCACCAAAATTTCTGGACAAATAGTATACAAAGCACGTCAAATTTAGGAGATGATTGGGATATCCGAAAAATGCAGGGTTATCAAAAGATGGCTACTTTAAGGTTTTCGCCAGCGAGAAATTGTTGGAGAAAACAGAAAAAAAATAAACCATAAAAAAACCTTGTCAAAGACATTGTTTTAATCATGTCCTGCATAATTAAAACGATACAGAGGAACACATATCACTAGGAATATGTGTTTCCCAGGTGGGGGAACACATATCACTAGGGATATCTGTTTCCCAGGTGGGGGAACACATACCACTACAAATATGTGTTTCCCAGGTGGGGGAACACATATCACTAGGGATACATGTTTCCCAGGTGGGAGAACACATATCACTAGGGATATGTGTTTCCGAGGTAAGGGATCACATATCACTAGGGATATGTGTTTCCCAGGTGGGGGAACACATACCACTACAAATATGTGTTTCCCAGGTGGGGTTAACACGTATACTAGGGATATGTGTTTCCCAGGTGGGGGAACACATATCACTAGGGATATGTGTTTCCCAGCAGGGAGAACACATATCACTAGGGATATGTGTTTCCACAGTGGGGGAACACATACCACCACAAATATGTGTTTCCCAGGTGGGGGAACACATATCACTAGGGATGCATGTTTCCCAGGTGGGAGAACACATATCACTAGGGATATCTGTTTCCCAGGTGGGGGAACACATACCACTAGGGATATGTGTTTCCCAGATGGGGGAACAAATATCACTAGGGATACATGTTTCCCAGGTGGGGGAACAAATATCACTAGGGATATCTGTTTCCCAGGTGGGGGAACACATATCACTAGGGATATGTGTTTCCCAGGTGGGGGAACACATACCACTAGGGATATGTGTTTCCCAGGTGGAGGAAAAAAATATCACTAGGGATACATGTTTCCCAGGTGGGGGAACACATATCACTAGGTATATCTGTTTCCCAGGTGGGGGAACACATATCACTAGGGATATGTGTTTTCCAGGTGGGGGAACACATACCACTAGGGATATGTCTTTCCCAGGTGGAGGAACACCTATCACTAGGGATATGTGTTTTCCAAGTGGGGGAACACATATCACTAGGGATATGTGTTTCCCAGGTGGGGGAACACATATAACAAGGGATATGTGTTTCCCAGGTGGGGGAACACATATCACTAGGGATATGTGTTTTCCACGTGGGGGAACACATATCACCAGGGATATGTGTTTCCCAGTTGGGGGAACACATACCACTAGGGATATGTGTTTCCCAGTTGGGGGAACACATACCACTTCAAATGTGTGTTTCCCTGGTGGCGGAACACATACCACTAGGGATATGTGTTTCCCAGGTGGGGGAACACATATCACTAGGGATATGTGTTTCCCAGGTGGAGGAACACATACCACTTGGGATATGTGTTTCCCAGGTGAGGAAACACATATCACTAGGGATATGTGTTTCCCAGGTGAGGAAACACATATCACTAGGGATATGTGTTTCCCAGGTGGGGAAACACATATCACTAGGGATATGTGTTTCCCAGGTGAGGAAACACATATCACTAGGGATATGTGTTTCCCAGGTGGGGGAACACATATCACTAGGGATATGTGTTTCCCAGTTGGGGGAACACATACCACTTCAAATGTGTGTTTCCCTGGTGGCGGAACACATACCACTAGAGATATGTGTTTCCCAGGTGGGGGAACACATATCAGTAGGGATATGTGTTTCCCAGGTGGGGGAACACGTGGCCCTAGGGATATGTGTTTCCCAGGTGAGGAAACACATATCACTAGGGATATGTGTTTCTCAGGTGGAGGAACACATATCTTAAGGGATATGTGTTTCCCAGGTGGGGAAACACATACCACTACAAATATGTGTTTCCCAGGTGGGGGAACACATATCACCAGGGATATGTGTTTCCCAGTTGGGGGAACACATACCACTAGAGATATGTGTGTCCCAGGCGAGGGAACACATATCACTAGCGATATGTGTTTCCCAGGTGGGGGAAACATATCACTAGGGATATGTGTTTCCCAGGTGGGGGGAACACATACCCCTAGGGATATGTGTTTCCAAGGAGGGGGAACACATATCACTAGGGATATGTGTTTTCCACGTGGGGGAACACATTTCACTAGGGATATGTGTTTCCCAGGTGGAGGAACACATACCACTAGGGATATGTGTTTCCCAGGTGAGGAAACACATACCACTAGAGATATGTCTTTTCCTGGTGGGGGAGCACATACCACTAGGGATATGTGTTTTCCAGGTGGGGGAACACATATCATTAGGGATACGTGTTTCCCAGGTGGGGGAACACATATCACTAGGGATATGTGTTTTCCAGGTGGGGGAACACATATCACTAGGGATTTGTGTTTGTCACGTGGGGGAACCCATAGCATTAGGGATAGATGTTTCCCAGGTAGGGGAACACATATCACTATGGATATGTGTTTCCCATGTGATTGTACACATATCGCTAGGGATATGTGTTTCCTAGGTGGAGGAACACATATCACTAGGGATATGGGTTTCCCAGGAGGGGGAACACATATCACTAGGGGTTTGTGTTTCCCTGGTGGGGGAACACATACCACTAGGGATATGTGTTTTCCAGGTAGGGGAACACATATCACTAGGAATTCGTGTTTTCCAGGTGAGAGAACACATATCACTAGGGATATGTGTTTTCCAGGTGGGGGAACACATATCACTAGGGATATGTGTTTTCCAGGTGGGGGAACACATGTCACTAGGGATATATGTTTCTTAGGTGTGGGAACACATATTACTAGGGATATGTGTTTCCAAGGTAATTGAACCCATATCACCAGGGATATGTGTTTCCCAGGTGGGTGAACACATATTCCTAGTGATATGTTTTTCCCAGGTAGGGGAACACATATCACTAGGGATATGTTTTTCTTAGGTGGGGGAACACAAATCACTAGGGATATGTGTTTCCAAGGTAAGGGAAGACATATCACCAGGGATATGTGTTTCCCAGGTGGGGGAACACATATCACTCGGGATAAGTGTTTCCTAGGTGTGGGAACACATATCACTAGGGATACGTGTTTTTTAAGTGGGATAACACATATTTTATACTTGGGATATGAGTTTCCCAGGTCTGGGAACACATATCACTACGGATATGTGGTTCCTAGTTGGGAGAACACATATTACTAGGGTTATGTTTCCCCAGTAGGGGAACACATACCTCTATTGATATGTGTTCCTCTACTTGGAAAACACATATCGCTAGTGATATGTGTTTTCCAGACAGCGGAACACATATCATTAGGGATTCATGTTTTCTTTATTGGGTATTAATTATAACGCAGCGCTTAACCTATTCAGCCCCTTATGTATTTTATTTAACTGCAAGGAAGCTTTCCTGTTTTTTTTTCCTACAGTTCCAATTAAGTTTTAGTTATTTTTATATTTTCATTTAACTATTATAATGTGTTATATTTCAGGTCAGAAGATGATTTGCACAGTGTAAAAATTACCCATGAAGACCCAGTAACTAAAGTTGACAAGGTACAATAAAAATTTTGCAGTTATTATCGTTGTATGCATGAGAGTTACAAAGGGTGCTTATGATTGGGAAATCTGGATTTAGATTTTAATGCTGCAGAGATATCTGTTCTTGAGTTTTCCCTTTTTTGCTGTTGTTTTTTTTGGAATTATATCGAAGAAAGGATTAAGAACTAGGAACAGGAGTTTTGCACCCGCATGCATAATTAGCAAAAAGAAGACCACTGTCCAAAAGAATAGTTTTGCAAATCCTCTTTCGGATTTCCCAATCGAACAGTAAAGAAGGAAATCCGGATTTGGATTTGTTAATTGAAATCCACCCTGAGGACGGATTTCTTGAAAGTGAAATCCATTTTCGGGTTTTGCGTTCAATTGCAAAATCTGAAATTCTTTGTAAAAAAGTAAATCTGGATTTCCCAATCGATTGCAACCAAACTGGATTTTTCTGGTTACCTGCATAGAGAATATGCTTTTAAGGGTTGAAAAGCTTTTCTGGCTGTTAATATTATGGAGACATAAGAGACCTTTAGATTCGAGGACAAGGACGACTGCGAGTACAAGAATTGACGTAAAGTTTTTTCGCGTATTCTCATTAATGTAGACTTCCCAGAGAACTTCATTTTACCATTTTCCACTAGAAAGGTTCACACTGTTATCTTTAGTGAAGGAGGTTGCGCGCTCTTTCGATCGCAAAATGATAAAACTACTAACGTTTGTTATGAATCTTGTTTTTTGCCACCACAACATTTGCACTAAAATTCATGGTAGAAATGATGGTGGCTACCACCTTTTCCCGCCAAAATGACGCTGGTTCACACTCGAGCACTGCTTAGTATTGGGAAAATCTCATAGTCGTAATCTTACTTGTCTCAGAATCTTAAGCTCTCTATAGACACAGAAAAGAAGAGAAATTTTTTTATACTCCTTAAATTTTACAAGTTCCTGGGGGAAATTCCATGCCCCCAGCCCTTTAAAGCACGTAGTGACTGCCCTGTTCTGGGATAAAAGCCATGGATGCTGATGTGAATGATTTGGTTTGTGTGTCCTTCCATCCCTACAATGTCTGTGTTCACACTTACGAGACAGATTATCTGTCTCAAATTATGAAATAGACGGATAAACAGACAGATGTAATTAATCAGACTGATAATTCATTGCCCCTGCTGGGTCACATTAAGACGGCTAGATTATCTATTATACTTCTGAGTCAGATAGTCTGTCACTTAAGTGTAAAAACAGCCACCTGGCATGGATTACAGTCATAATCAAATAAAGTTTTTAGATGTTTCAGTTAATGTTTAAATTGCCTATGAGGTATTATTAATAATAGTTTCGTTGTTTAACTTAAGCTTGCCTATGGTTCAGTACAATTTCTGAGGATAGCATTTGATATTATTTCCTTGTACAAAGTGGGAAAGATGACAGAGAATAAGTGGCTAAAGTAAGTCAATCAGTCATTTCAAATTTCATGGCCTCTAAGGCAACTTCATTTTTCTCTGCACAAAAGCAATTTTACTACTTAAGTATTTATTTGTTTAATTACATCAGCTGTGAATATTTTCCCTCAATTCTTTGTCGTCTTATTTATATTCACAGAAATGTTGTACAATGAGTAAACCTAAAGTAAACAGCACTTTTGAATTATTAAGAAAAAGCACTCTAAAAATGTTTAATTATTATTATGATTATATGATTACGATGATGATGATGATGGCTATTATTATTATTATTATTATTATTATTATTATTATTATGATGTGGTAGTAGTAGCAGCAGCAGCAACAGCAGTAGTAGTAGTAGTAGTTACTTTAGTAGAAGTCGTAAAAAAGAGTAGTGGTAGATTTTTGTTCGATGAATCTCAAGACCATAAAACAGCTATAATTTGTGTTAATTCAGACTCATACATTATTATTTTTTTGATACTGGCACTTGCTTTGACGTATGTTTTTGTGTCCTTTGATTATCAACAGCCGCATTATTATGTTGGAGACAGTGGCAGGTGTACCAGGGATGATTGCGGCGATGGCTCGACACTTTCACTCCCTCAGGAAACTAACAAGAGACCATGGGTGGATTCACACACTACTAGGTAATATTTCCAGTGAAATGAAGGGCCATGCAAAATTCAAATATTTATTTACTCCAACAAGCACCAATCAAACTGTCTTAAATTAATAGGTTTAACCAAGGTACGTTTTTAAGTACTAATAATGGGCTATTGCTAGTCTTTTCAAAATTTGCTAGTATTTTGACAATAATATAATTAATCTGCCTACGTATTTATAACACTTCAGTACATCTGTCATATTTGAGCACTCATGCCATGTCCCAGAAACTTGTCATTATGATAAATGTACTCGAAAACTTAGTTTTATAGTTTTAGGTACTTAAAACTTTTCATCAAACTTTTTTAGAGGAAGCTGAAAATGAGCGGATGCATTTGATGACAGCCTTGGAACTAAAAGAACCTGGAATTCTCTTCCGAGGAGTTATACTTCTGGCTCAGGGTAAGTTGTACAAAAAAATTATTTCGCGATTAATTTTCAAGACTTACTGGGTTTAAGGCATTTTAATGCAGGTGAAATGTGTAACCTGTTATTTAGCTCGAATTTTAGTGCCATGCTTATGTTTTTTTTCATATTGCCTCTGCCTCCTCCTCCTCCACAAGCTTTTCTAAGGCTTAGTAGCAATGCAACACAGCGAGAACCCTGAGAAGTGGAGACAAGCAAGAGGTCCCAGGAACACTTTAATTTCCTTAATAATCAACTCAAATATCCGCCCAAACGTGATTGTGAGTAACTGCATTGGGATGAGGCAGATTTTGCCTAATGCCCACTCGGACTTAACCAGGGGGTGGGGGGTTGGGGTTTGGTGGCTCGGGTTACAACATAATAATAATAATAATAGTAATAACTGTTTGTTCACAAATCCATGGTAAAGTGAAAAGGAGATAAAGGAGGTTATCCCTTTCTAGTTTAATCCACAGGAAAGCTCTGCCCAAAGGGCCAACCCCTTTTATCCTTTTATTTACCATTTTTGACGAGGTACTCCCTCTATATTCCTTCTATTGACAAATGGTATCTCTTTCATATACCCAGTGTAATTAGAACTTTCGATCCCTTTAACTACAGTAAAGGCACTGTATTTAAAATAGGAGTAAATTACAAAACCAGAACATTTCCCCAACTTTTTCACAGTGATAAAATGCATTTGTCAGCCCTTTTGGGCCTTTCATAAAAGGAAATGACAGTTACCCTTTCTCGTACTTAAACTAGTGAAATCCCTACCCTTTCATATACCTGAAGCCTGAAAAAGGTACCCCTATCGGGCGGAGCCTTCCTGTATAGGCCATCATAGGGAGTACCTCCACCCCTCCAGGGGAGTTAATGTATGATGCAATCAAAATATTTATTATACCTACACCTTTTTTCTTTTCCTATTTAAACAGGTCTTTTTGTAAACTGCTTCTTCATAGCATACATGTTAAGCCCCAGATTTTGTCACAGATTTGTTGGATACCTAGAGGAGGAAGCAGTGAAGACTTACACCTACTGCTTAAAGGTGAATAACCTTTTTAAGTTAACCATCAGCTGCCTCACTTGAGAAGGTGGGGCCATCCTGGTGGATCCATGGAGTTGCACTGTTCTGGCAAGCTGGCTAGATGCTACAATCTTGGAAAAAAATGTTAATTAGAAAAATGATTTTTGCCTTGTCTAGTTTCAAGATGAAGCTCTTCAAGCACTGACAACTAGTGACAAAATTAATAATCCCCATTCCTCCCCAAAACAAATATGCTGAAGTCTGGCTGGATCATTTTTGTCCTTGACTGAACAACATTGGCCAGGGTGGGACAAGGGGAGAGGTTATAGGGGTACCAAATCTGTCTGATAGGCATTCTGTGGGTAAGAAACTGCAAAATTCTAAGCACTTTTTGTCCAAGATTGAAGGTAGAGTTCATTCCAATAATGCAGGAATACAAATGTATCACTTAAAGTGACCAACATTATTTTTCTCCTAACAACATCAGCAGATTATCAAGAGTAAAGGTTATGAGAATTACTTGATTACCAAAGGGAGAATGATTTGATCTTAAACCAAATTCTCTCAACTATTCCTAAAAAAATGTATAGACACCAGTTTGGAGAATTTGTATGTGGATATTAGGGCAATATGTCAAGGTTCACAAACTATTAAACCCCTGCCATGAGGCCCCATTCCAGGCACCTGTCAAACTGGATAAAATTTACAGTATACATATAATGAATAAAATGGATGGGAGAAAAGTAAAAAAAAAATTCCGTCTTTATAGCCAGGTTCTTTTATTTAAAAAATTTCAATTCATGGGCATAAATATGTGATAAATATTATTATTCAGTTAAAGCATTCATGTAAAATTTTCACAGTGCATTGATGACGGAACTCTACCGATTTGGAAAACAAAGCCTGCACCTCCTCTGGCTATTAACTACTGGAAGTTAAAGGTATTTTAAGAAAATTTTCCTGAAAATTAAAATTTCTTAGAGGGAATTTTTAAAGAGTGTGGAAGAAAATCCATGACTTACTATGAAAAATATGTGCCAAGAAAGGAAGAGAAAGGGGGTAACAGCAAACTTGAACCATTTACTGACAACATCTCTCCAGCACAAATAGTTGACTGCACAACTGAATTTTACACAGATATTTGTACCTCAGGAGAAATGGTAAAACACTGAAGCATTATTGGAAGCAACAGGTTAAGAAGAATTTTATTAATTGAAGATCACAGTTATTGACACAAGTTTTGCAGTTGTGGAAAGAAAGCCTGAAAAAAGAAAGGCATGTACGGGATTTGAACCCTTGTCTCTGTAAATATCGGTGCAGTGCTCTCCTAGTTATTGACCAAACAAGCCAACTGGGAGTGGGCCATTGAGTTGATCTATTATAAACCCACAAAAGGATAAAGATATGAAAATCATTTGACATAAGAACTGTGGAGCGAATGAATTTATTAAATAGTCAAAGAATGTATTAAATGAAAGGAGATTATCACAGTTATAGGGGATAAGTAGAATTCAAAGATTATTAAACTCAGTAAAGCACCCTCCTCACTACACAACAATAGAGATTTTAAGATTCAAGGACGACAACAACTACGAGAACGAGATTTGATTTAAAGTTTTTTGCGTATAAGTAGACACCCCAGAATGCTTCATTGTACTTTTTTTTTTTCAGCAGAAAGTTAGCACTGCTATCTTTATTGGAGGAGGTTAAGCCCTCTCCCGATCGCAAATCATAAAACTTTTAACATGTGATAACTTGTTTCTGCCATTGCGACATTCTTGCTAAAACTCGTAGTAGAATGACGACAAGTATCACGTGTTCTTGCCAAAATAATGCTGGTTCATGCTGGCGCTAGTAGAAGTATTGAGAAATTCTTCACTTGTAGTTGTACTTGTCTTTAAATATAAAGGTCTCTAATATTGTTCAGTCTGTAGCTCTGAGTTTCTATATAATTTTCTTACAGGAAGGAGCTGTTATGCGAGATGCTATCCTGGCCATACGAGCAGATGAAGCGCACCACAGAGTTGTTAATCACACTCTAAGCTCAATGCACCTTAATGAGAAGAATCCATTTTCACCAGGCCAGAAGAAATTATAAGTGCAAGGTTATCTGTGGTGCTTTAAAGACTTTAAAGAGAACATAGAAGGTCTGTGAACAGGCAAAGTAAAATCCGCCTTTTCTATAGAGTTTTTAAGAGTGCTAAAATATTATTTTGTATTTCAGTGGAACTTCATTTTCTTGAAGCCCTAAATTTTTCTCAAACTATATTTATCACCCAATCATAGCTGTCACTTAAGGCTGGGGGCCTGGGGATTTCACCCAGCGACACCCGGCTAATGTCATAGCAGGGGTGGATCCAGGATTTTTCTTAGGAGGGGGCCGGGTGCACCACTAAGGAATGGCATAACTGACTGGTGACATAATTCAAAATGGTGTGTATATCTTTCGAGCAAGACAGAAGGCAGTACTCATAGAAGCGAAGCAAAATCCACAGGATACCCATGAATAGGACATGTGGCAATGATGTTTTTGGGTACGATAGCATGTTTGAAACAAAAGAAAGTAAATTTCAAACCAGTTGCAGGTTTTCACATGAAGTCAAAACTTGAACCAGAGAATTATCAGTTCATCTGAGTTTTTGCTTTCATGAAGTATTATAGGAGTTAAACACTTATATACGTACAAATTAATTTTTCAGTTTAAATGGCTTGTTTGTTTTGTGATGGTGTGCTTGAATTTCTGAAATTCAATCACTCCATTTCATAATATTGTATTATACTAATAAAGCATGAATTCTGTAATAATGTTACACTACTGCAAAATTAATAATACATGATTCTTTATACATTGAGGTAGAAGCTGGGTTATAAAAGAAAGTAAAGGGTAGAATTATTAATTAATAAAGTGAATGTGCAACCGTAGTTAGATTTGCAAACCCAAATAATAACAAATAGTTAACCATATAAAAATTAATTTAATTGCTACAACCTAATGTTATGAAATACATTGTCATGTTATTTATTGTCAACATCTGTTACACATAAGGAAAATGTACAAATTAAAAAATAAGAGAAAAAATTGCAAATTCTATTTACACGTTACTTTTTGTCCAGTTATTCAAGACCTTAAGATACACTGTTTCAGTGTACAAGTACAGGTAAATAACGCGTGTGGATAGCCATGAATACAGGTAAATTGCCTCTCAGCACAGAAAAATGGGTAGGCCACCAGCTAGAACAGTAATGCCAACATCTCATCTGAGAAATAACGGTCACCTTTTATTTAACTACGTAGCCAACATGGTCGCCTACCCGTACCTGTAGGCAGAAACGGTATATCTTAAGGTCACTATTGTCAACTCATTTCCCTTAGGGGTTCATCTATTATAATAATAATAATGATGACAATGAGTGTAGAGTGATATTACTTAACCTGTGAAACAGATACTATTAACAACTAATGCAAAATAGCTAAAAGTAGACAAAAGAGACGAGAATGAAGTTAGTGCATACGTGTATTAGTACATAGTAGTCTAATACCTATTTCATGGGTTAAGTAAAATCACTCTATTTTGTTAACTAAAATATGTCTTTAATTTTATTTCCTTATGCTCAATGTTGCTTCCATTGTGCTTATAAAGTGCCACAGTTACACAGGGTGCAAAGAAAGTCATTTTTAAAGCTTGCCATTTGGGCAAGCTGAAGCTAGCATGTACTAGCCCAAACGTCATTTCAACTAGCCCTAAAAACATTTTGACGAGCAGAATTGATTTCACAGTTCTTCTATAATTTGAATTTCTCGAAAATACTTCACTAGCCTGTCGGGCAAGTTAAGAACAAAATTCACTAGCCCAATAGCAAAATCCACTAGCCCCGGGCTATCGGACACTACTTTCTTTGCACACTGGTTACAGTTAAAACAATTTGGCCACAGCCAGCTTCTCTGTTGGGAATTGTGCGTCAATAGTGTGTTTACATATTTCGTATTTTTATCCCTTCACTTTATTATATTTCAAGTTGATGACAACGTTGATTGCCAAAGGGACAGTCACAAAGTGAACCGCACCAACTGATAGGATGTAGGGTTTCTTAATTTATTTCGTGGGTATAATACTAAATGTCAATTAATGATATAGGTAAGGTTTCATGTGTATTGTAGTTATAAGTCTAGGAGAGAAGATTATGTAATCTGAAAACAAGTTGTAAGGCCGAAATCTGTGCGATTTGATTAAACTTTGAACATTGGAATACACAAGCAGACTTCTATTTGTCTCATCTCCAACACCTCCATTATTCACACCTGGTATGAAAATCTGCTTTGAATAAGTTGACTTCAATTCAGATTGACTTTTACAGGGGAAATTCATAAATAATAAGTAACTAACTAAAGGTAATTTTTGCTGTGTAAATCCCATTTGCACCATTCTTACGTGCGCATACGTTGCCTGAATGACAAATTGTTTATTTCACCTATTGAAGGTCAAGTTGTATCTGATCTTGTACTGTTATTTTCTGGTTCAAATTTGAGTGAAATGCTGTTGATGCAGTATCTGAGACCAGTAGGTGCAGGGCCGTCTGGGAACACATGACCAAGATGAGAATCACACTGTCAAGTAATATGAAAAAATAAATATAAAAAAGTTTGAGTATTTCTATATCTAAGTAAGTACATTATGAAGTCATATGACCATAACTTCTAATATAGATCTACATGACAGATTATCTTCAAAGAAAAAGAGAGACTAGTATTTACCCGGTATTTTAAGACGGAATTATTCTCAGTTTTAAACAAAAGAAAACTGCATAGTACTGTGCTGCTCTTTACAAACAACAAGTTTTAAATACATTGCACCATCAAGAAAGTGCACATTGGCAAGTCCAAAATTTTATAAGTATTAATGTGAGTAAATAATGGTACTCCATATCCAGCGAGCAAACTCTCTAGGTGTTCGCTTGTGGGGTAACTAACTCGTAGGGAAAGAAATCTTCATTTTACCTGCCGACAAAGAACTTCAGTTCTGACCATGCCATGACTATAGTCAGTTTTTTCTGCTACTGACAATTGAAGAGAACTTGAATCGTTGGAGCTAATTGTTTCTATTGCAGCATTAAATGATGGCCATCCTGTTCCGGATTCAAACTTCGCAGATGAGCTGTAACCAAAGAAAAGAATTACACTATCAGGTAAAGGAGCTTTAACAAGACAAGAAACTCAGGTTAAACTGGCTTCTGTAGTATGGAGTTACATTTAAGGAGTAGCTCTTTAATGGATAATGTACTGTGACAATAAATCCTATCCGCCATTATTCTCCTGACTGTATTGGGGAGCATCAGAGAATTTGGACAGAACAGATCTTTAATGTGCCAAAAAGATATTGTAAGATCTTTTAGGGGTGTGGCAGAGGAAGTACTAAGTGGATTTGCTGGCGCAAAATCATCATTTTGAAGAGGCTAAATGGCTAACTAGAGGGAATATGATGCCAGGATTGCTTACCTAAACAGGTCACTACCACAGCAAACACACTTGTATTTTCCTTTGCCTTTAAATTCAACATATTTACCGGACCATGGCTGGAAGCAAATATTTGAATTTTATTATATCAATAGTAAACACTGACAAATGGCAGCTGGGATAGACACAAGAGTCTAAGTACAGCTACTACATCAGTATGTCTGGTAAATTAATCTAGGTTCAATAACAATGTAAAATACTACTTAGTAACCAAGAGTGAGGTCATTACAGGGAAATCTCAGACTGAGGGCTCGGACAATACATGAAGGCAGAGGTCTGAGATTTCTCTGTTATAACCAAACAGACAAGGTTAACAAGTTATTTATTACATGGCCTGTTTAGAGCTATTCTTAAAATGAATACAATAAAAAACACCAGAAGTAATTATTTTCAACATCTGCACAAGAGATTATTCAAGGTCATGTTCAGGAACTAAACCTGGGGATGCGATCGAAACCACCAGACAAAGTTTCTTTGAAAATGAGAAATTTTGGACCTGAGCCTACGATCAATAATTAAAATAACCAAAAACTGGTCACCTCAATGAGTTGTATGCTTGAGCCTGTGATACAGTCATGTGACACAGTCAGCAGATAGCCTTTTTTGACAGCTGTCAATTGACCACAATATGGATGTCTACTATCAAGTTTTTTGTTTAAAAACACAGATTGTAAATGCCTGGGACAACTAGCTAGCAATGCCCAGTCATCACAAGAAAATCTTCGCTTATGTAGCAGCCAGTTGGAGCTCACATACTATTGTAGCCATTCAATAATAAATTATTAAACAAGGTAAGTGAAAGGGGAACCATTTGTCAATAGAAAGTATACAAAAGAGATAGCTTGTCTGTCAAAAATGGTATATGAAAGGGGTTAGACCTCGGGGTAGAGCCTCCCCACCTCCCCACCCCACCTGGGAATAACCCATTAGGATTACTTAGTCTTACCGGCTCAGTTCCTTTTTGCCTGCAGACCCAGTATTGATCAGGAGAAAGTTTTGTTTTCCATTCTGTGTCTGAGTACTTGACCAAGGAAACTAACCAAAACAAAATAATTATGTGGACAAATACACTTTTGAATAATAGAGAGATTTAGAGTCACGTTTGCAGCAAATGGCAAACGTGAGACACAAGTGGAGACTTTCTCAAACAATTAAGAAGTGAACAGATAAAAACTGTCCAAAATAAATCTGGCAGATGAACATAACAAGAGACACCTTATTCCTGTGTAAAAATAATCAATAGCACATGACAAGTAAATGAAGACTCGGTCACGTGGTACAATTTCACATTGCCGTTTGTCGTAAGCGTCATTCTAAATCTCTGTATATAAGTACTTATATGGGAACTCACAGCCCGTCAAGTATCCAACAGATTCCCTAGGGAGGAGTTAGGAAGGAATTGACTTAGCCAGTATTCCTTACTCATGTGGACGTCACCAATGATATTACATTACCACGCAGAAGCGCACTGGTTCTTCAAATAAATATTCTTTTGTTTCATTCAATATACATGTGACTATAAACAAGAGAAATGAAGTTATGAATATATGAAAATCATACCGGTATATGACAACTGCGGAAGACTG